TAATAAAAAAATAATTTCACAATTACACTCTTTTATTTTACATTATTGCAAGACGGAAAAGTAAAATGTGGCCCTGCTCAATTTTAGCGTCCACCTGCTTCTGTTTACATCAGGCGTAAATTAAATTTGAATAGACTTTAGTATGATGTTTTCTGAACTTTACTTTGTAACCTCTATGATGTGCTATATAAGTTTTGCCGTTGCGGACATTCGGTGGTGGCAGGGATATTAGGGTTAAATTAAAAGTACATTGCATGTGAGCTTGAAGAGCCTAAAATTGCAACTTATTAACGTAGATGGAATGTTTTTGTGCTAGCTGGGTTTAATCTTAAATGTTCAACAAAAAATAGATTTCTGCCGTTGACTATTGTATGTGGCTATAATGTAATTTTGTGACTTACTGATAGGAAACCAGTTTTAATCATTCATTCTGTTTTCTTTCGACAAAAATGAAAATATAAATAATCTTCTGTTTATACATTTTAACTTCACGCTATTATTTAATGTTGTTTTTTATTTTGACAGAATAGGTTAACTCTTCAAAGACAACTTATTAGACTTAGGCAACTTCTCATACATTTTATCGTAAATACTGTTGCCTGTCTATATTTTATTATTGATTTTTATTGATTATACTTAATTTCTTCATAGTTTAAGCGATAAAAATACATAATAATAAAAAATTGTTTTACATATTAAAACTAACATATTAGTGGGCTACTAATATTTGTATTTTCAACTCATATTTTAAAAGTTTTAAGTATTTGAGGGGATTAGGTGTCCATTGCTGGAAAATTGGCCATTATTGGCACATTTACCCTAGATTATGCTTGGTCACATCCTTATATTTTTGTCGAAATAAACTGATCAAAGGTACTTATAATATTTATTTATAAATACATCATTGCAACAGAAAATAAATTATGTTGAGTTAGAATAACTTTGTTTATGTGAAATTATTATAAAAATGGCTGAATCCTTAAAGCGTGAAACTTGATTCATAAACTCTCAATTATTAAATAAAGTACCTAAGCAATTAAGTGATTTTCCAAATCCCATAATACTTAGATGGGAATTTCCTGTATTATAAAGACATTTTAAATTGTAATGACTTCAAAGGCTCCTCACGGATTTTTTTTTTTTAGTTATTTGCGAGTATCCAGATAGAACATATTTTTTAGTTTTCATTGTTGAAAAGGTTTTACTGGGTTTTCAAAGCATTCTAAAATAATTGTATTGAAGAGTATTTTAAGTGTTTCTATTCACCTTGATACCTAGGTAAGTACGTACTCAAAATCATTTATTATAAGTTTAAATTTTTCTACATAAAAGTATCAATAGATATATTTCGCAACTTTTTTTGGTTAAAAAAGTGAAAATTTAAACAAAAATATAATTGTTTTATTATTTAACATCTTACAGTTATCATTTTGTATTTGTTAATTAATATAACACAATAAAAATTTCATCACAATTTTTAAATTAGTTTCCAAAATATTCTGATATCAATTGTTTTTAATAACCAGTTCTGTGCCGGTTTTCTTATTAATCAGGTGACCTTAGAGAATCAACGTTAAACAAAACAAATGATAGTATTTACTAAAAATGTTCAGATTAATATCAGCGTCGCAGCTTTGTGAGGAGACGGGGTTTAAAATAAAAAATAGTTGTTTTATATTTTCAAAACAATGAGGTCTTTATTGTAAAAAATGCCGTGGGTTGCCAATATCTGACTCACCTATACAGATACAAAATATAATGTGACATAAAAAATATAGGATTTGCGAAAAAATCAGAGATAAGCGCAAATAGTTAAAATTCGAAAAATAGAAATTCTAAATCGTATTAGAACTTATAAATAATTAATGATAAATCGATAAGTCACAAAAAGGTATTTTTTGATGTTTTTTTACCCCTTAAAATAATTACAATGAGCCCAAAGAGTGTAAAAATTTAATTTTACTGTAATAATATTCACATTTATCTTTTATTCTATTTTGTCTTAGTTTTATATTCAAAGTCTTAGGTTTAAAATGTGTCTTATATTTACATTTGTCAGTTATTAGTAAAATAAATAATATCTAAATACGTGTTAAATCTATGTTGCGCTAGAACCACTTTTCCAAAATTTCGTTTAGTTTTTTCTGAACATAAAAATTTTTGTTATTTTTTCAACTAAATAAGATTTCGAAATGTTGGCTCACACGTACATATTTTTCGCAAGACGTTTGCTAGGCTTAAAGGTTATTTTGTAGAGCTGCGTACAGACCACGCCACTGAAGGCCTTCGCCCTTGGGCCCTAACCATTCGTTGGCCGTCGTTAATACCTACATATACATTTATTGTTCAATTAAACGTTCGTTGGGTCACGTACCCATATTGAATGTTCATTTTGATGTGATACGCGAAAACAATGATTCAATTTGTTAGTTGCATTCGCTCGAATCGCCCAATTTTTTTGATGTTAGCGCTACGACTCGGCTTGTCGGCAAACGCCAGCGAACCTTCGTTGGTATTCGCTAAACCGTCGGTGTCGCGCCAACGAAGCTCCTTCGTTGGAATTCGTTGGCGCGGTGTGGAAGTAGCTTAATAGTTAGAGATAATTGCCAAAGTAAATTCTTCTTTTAAAACCATTTATGCAATCTGTTATAAAAGAAACGCATAAAATTCATAAAACCTCTATAGGTAACTAAATTTTGGTAATAACGCAAAAACAAATCAATTGATAGTTATGATATAAAATCATTTCAAAAATACCTAAGTAATTAGTCTTACATTTGTTCCAAATGTTAATTATAGGTTTTATGAATTTTATTTTTCTTTTATAAAAAAAAAAAACAAAATAAAATTGTTAACAAGATTTTGATAAGTGTAAATGGTAAAGGGGCTTACAATAAATAAAAAAAAAATGAAATCTGGGGAGGTGAAAAATGGTATTATGGCGATTTCCAGCGAAAATTGACGTCAGAAACAAAACTGGATAATGCAAAAGTTGTATATCAAGTAAACATCTACAGCTTTTGTAGAAATCACTTTTTAACATAACCTTAAAAAGTTCGTTTTTCAAATATAATTCAATTTTGATGAAATTTGGTGAAATTATATCTGTGTGTTTTAAAGAAGCAAAAAAATTTTAAAAGATTTGTAGATATAAATTTTTTCTTTCAAAAGCAATTTTTTTAAAAAGAAATTCTACGTTGAAAAATTATCGTTCTTTAGATACTCATTTTTTTCGTTTTGACTTAGTGTTTGATAAAATAAAAAAAATTATAGTCGCGATTAAAAAACATGCTCAAAAATGGATAAAAACAAAAAATGACGATATCAACAATGAATTATTCCTTAATTATATTTCACGCCTTGTTCTCAATGATAATAGGTTGTAACCCCCTTTTCCCGCTCTGTGGCCAAGTATTTTAAAGTCTAAATACCCTCAAAAGTATTTAAAAAGTTCCAAAATAACTGCCCGAGTCCCGTAGTAGTCAGATACACTCTTACGTCATACTTTCTTTTTCGTGCATAGTGATTACACGTAAATAATTTGCTTATTATTATTAATAATTATCAAAAATACATAAATGGGTAAATCAAAGAACATTTTTACAACGGGGAAGTTTACGTCCTACTAGGATTACAAACTTAAAAACAAAATTATAAAAAAAAGCTGGATGAACAAAAACAAATATATAATTGTATACATTTGATATTGAGTTGGGTTTACTAAGAAGAACTTTAATAAGACATGATTATTTTGTTGAAATAGAATATCTAACATTGTTTAGACGAGTTCTTTGATGAAAGTGAGCCGTTTTCACCTTGAACTGATCGGCTCTTATGACTCATAACTTCTTTTAATTTCATGAATCTTTCAAAATAACATTTGCTTGTATTATTTTCTAGTGAAGTTGCAATAACTTCTGCAGATATTATGTTCTAAATTCACCTTTTTATTTGGTTAATATTTTGCAGATAAATTTATAGGCATTCAATTTGTTTAAAAAAAAAAAACCTTTGGTTTATTTTGAAACTCACAGAAAGTTTTTAGTTATCTATGCTAAAGAGATGGATACAGCCAATGAAAAATATTTAACTGCTAGGTACCAAGTAATTATAAAAACGAGTAGTTCTCATCTCGCCTACCGCCAATCTGCCTGCCGTAATTGGACGCATAATATTGACACCTTTATCGGTAGTGAGAGAGCAAGTATGCTTTAATTCTGTCTATTCAGCTGTATCAACAGCATTGAGTATATACCGCATATACCGTTCTCTGGAGAGAGGTTTAAAGTTAACATATTGCATATTAAATAGGAGGGGGGAGAAGTGAGGTAAAATGAACTGGGTGAAGTGAGTTACCTCTGATTAGACAGCCTTTAAGAAAAAAAAAAGGTCGATCTCAATTATATGAAACGCCTTGTTCAAGATGATCGAACCCACCCACACACTTATACCCAAGATCATCTCTACAAGATTCAAACACAATTACCGCTTTAAAAGAGTAACGTAAGAGTGTATCTGAATACCACGGGTCGGGAGCAGAGGTGGGAAGGACTGCGACAACCAGTTATTTTGGAATCAGTTATTTTGGAACTTTCTAAATACTTTTGAGGGTATTTAGACTTTAAAATTAAAATACGTGGCCACAGAGCGGCAAAAGGGGAGTACTACCTATGATTATCTCGAACAAGGCGTTTCATATAATTGAGATCGAACTTCACTTCAGGTAAGTTCGTTTGATCTATCAATTATCGATATAATTTGTATGCATTTAGTATTTTTATTTTTTTTTTAAATTGAAACAAACCATATCAGAGCCCTGTTAACTTTTTTGTTCTCAAAGTTTAATTTGATTGGACTAATACCAAATAGAGCCCTACAGGGGCCGGCCCAATTCGGTCGGGCTGCAGCCCGGCCCGGCCTGATTATATAGTTATGATAAGAACTATTTTAAATAGTACACTTTATTTAGGTAGAAAGAAAATCACTTTTATAGAAATAATCCCTTTTATAAAAAAAACTGTGCGCCCATGTTATTAATATTAATAAATAAAGAGTGGGAGGAAGCAGTTAGATTAGTTTATATATGAAAGAACTTTCTTGTCAATAGTAGGTTTGTAGTGGGACGACATTAGAGGACTAAAGGTAATTTTTGTCGTTTTTTAAAGATATTTTACCTATATATAAATATTTTAAAGAATTAATATATTTTTTAAATATTTTAATACGCTACATTCAATAAGGTTATTCCCTTTTTTTATATGACTACAATCAGCCGCCCAATTTTTTGGATTAATAAAACTATATTCGTTTTTTTTTTTTAAATACTTTATTAGTTACATATCTATGTTCTTTTCATGGTGATTTTGCGTTGAAACTTCTGTTTATAACTCATTTTAAATCTTCAAATTTTGGATCTTTAATGTCGATCAACAACACTAAATTTTCTCGTGATTGGTATTCAGTTATCGTTGTAGGACGAAACTAAAAAAGAAACATTTTTCGCCCACACTTAGGATTTTCCTTGTGTGGGTTTTTATTTCTATTGTAAATTCATGGTAAATGAAAATTACTATTACTAGGTACTACTGCTGTATTTGTACTATTCTTGTTGAGGGCGGCTCCATACCGAATTTTCGGAGGGGGTTATGCTCTCAGAGAAGAATTTTTGCATGTCCCCCTGGAGCCACTCTTGATTTTCGTTACCCTTGTCTTATTTGGCTAACCTTGTTTCTAATTTCACTTGTTTTAGATAATTACTGTTTTCTTTTATTTCTTTTTATATCACTTTATATTGTCATTCTTATTATTTTCAATTTTTTTACAACTGTATTTTTCCTTTTTTTTGTGTATTTTCTTCTGTGTGTATTATTTTTTCTCCGTTTTAATCAATTTAAGCCTAGCTTTTATTTTCTCTTCACTGACATAGTTATACCTCTCATTATATCACTATTTAATAATAATAATAATAATAAAATGCCTTTATTTGCTTGTAATATACAATGCATATAAACATCATGAGGCGAAGTCTAGCTTGTGCTACTCAACTTAACCTCAACATAAATTTACATTTAAAATAATCAAAAGGTATCCATCATTTACAATATAAAAAAAATAGGAAATTTAATATACAATTAATTTATGATTAAAAAAATGTTAACCCTGTATTTAATCTAAACTGAAATCAATGGAACTTAAAATCAATTAAATAAGGAAAAATGTTTGAAATTAATAATATATTAACGTTAGCACTGTATTCATTGCTCAACTAACTAAGTTTTATAATTTTGTTTTAAAAATGTCAGAGAACATGTCCTAATTTCCCTAGGTAGACTGTTATATATTAAAATGGCATTATATGTGAAAGATCTTTTGAAAAATGATAATTGGTATTTCGGAATCGTTAAGTTGTGTGGATATCTCAAATGTAAACTGTGCAGATCTTTCCGATATATCAATTTATTTTTTAAGTATATGGGAGTTGAGGTTGAGAGAATTCGAAATACCGTGGCCGCCATCTGATATTTAAATAAATTTACCGTTACAATTTCTTGTTCTTCAAGTTACTTGTTTTTGAGCTTATGTAACTGTATTGACTTCTATACAGGGTGATTCATTAAGAATGGGTACAGAGATTAAACACCAAAATATTAATATTAAGTACAACATTCCTTACAAATATTGCTGGTTTAGGAAAATTTGATTTTAAAATTTCTCAATAACTTTATGAGTTTTAACAGCATGAACATAAAATTTAGTTGTTTTAGGTTTTATGACATAAATTTGTAACTTATTTTGTGACTGCTCGTAGAGGGCGTTAGTGGTACCCTTTTGCTTCAGTAAATTATAAAATATCTTCTTTGTCCATTAAATAATGGTTCACATAAATTAAAAATCTAGAAGCCCGTTCAATTTAACATTAAATATATTCTCTTTTTTGCGTTTTTCGCTATTAAAAAGATCTGTGTTTTTCTTGTAAAATTTTTATTATTTTAAATTATAAAGTGAGCGAAGTGACATTAAAAAAAAGACAGTAATTAATAATGACAATCACTAACAACATCAAAGTAAATGTTTGAAATGGCCACCATTTACCTCAAAACACTTTGCAATGCGCTTTATTAAAGACGTGTCTATTTTCTTTAATTGAATTTAGGGCTTCTTATATTTTTTGCGGCAACACGTCGATCGAATTATTTTGTTCATTACAAACTATTTCCAGACCTTTGACACTCCCTGGGCGGGAAAAAGACGCGCAGCTTTTACTGCGCTGACGTTTTCGGAATATAATTTATCACTTGTCATAAATCCGGTTAAAAACTCGCTACCATGCGCAGGCAACCCATATTTCGTACAAAAATACAAAATTTTGTTTACATTTTATAGAAGTAGTTTTTGTAATACATTACAGCTTAAAAACGAAAAATTTGTTATTTTGATAGTTGATTTAGATCAAAAATACCCCAAATACACTTCAGTGTGTGTTTTATCCTTATTGATACGTATTATTGCTCGTTTTATTTGAGGACATTGGAATAAATAGAGTACTAGAAGTAATCAAGCTAAAAAGGTATGTTTGAAAAAGAAAATACATTGCATTCGACTGATTTATGTTTAATATGTTTTCGTGAAGTATTTCCAACATGCTAGTTACTTAAATGGTTGTAAATTGTAAGTGTATAAGTGATAGAAACTAATCTAGTATTTTGTACTTCCTTGTTTTTTTTTTGTTTTTGTCCCAGCCCAGCATTTCTAACCAGCAGTAGTAGCAAAAACATTAACATTGTCTACATTCAACCCATTTACATGTACATGATTTATCAGCTAAAAGCAGAATACAATATTTCTCTGCAAAATGTAAACAACGCTACAAGGAAAATTGTTCATGTATAAATTCAACAATTAAATCAAAATATATTATTTTTAAAGGACAAAAAATATATTGTTTATTGATTAATAGGTATCAAAAATATGTGTACCTATAGAAATTTGTTGAGATATGTTCTAATGCTCTTAATTTTTTTCAATAGGTTCTTATTATAGTTGTAAATAAAAATCAACACTTTTTCCGTCTATTTAACACTTACATACATATGCATATTTTAAGTTGTAAGGATCCGTAGCGTCTTAATTTTTTTACATTAGACACAAGACCTGTGATCTCACATTAAATCGTGAATATGAGGTATAGGATTTGGGAGTTGTCTTTCAGTCTAATTTAAAGTTCAATAACCATTTCTTAGACATAACTAAAAAAGCAATAAAAGCTTTGGGTTTTTAAATCAGAAATACAAAAAAATTTAGGATTACCACCAAAATCAGATCATATAATGCCTTAGTAAGACCCCATCTTGAGTATGTTTCGCAAATATGGATGCCCTTGGAAGCCACACATATTGATCATATTGAAAAAGTATAAAAAATATGTTTACGGTATGTCATAAAAATACTCGTACCCTTTTAAGATCTCATATAAAACTATGATCGATAGCTTCAAGATTAAATCTCTTTTACAAAGAAGAAAGCAACAGGCTGTGATATCTTTTGTATTCTATTTTAAATAATGTTAAGTACAAAGATTGTGATTTGATTGACTATATAAATTTTAATGTGGCAAAGATTAATCTAAGAATCCCAAGCAACAAAAAATTATTTAGTTTACATCCAAGTAGTATATCTTCTTTTTACAAGATGATGGGTGTTATCAATGAGTTTCTTAGCGAGGTTCAAATATATACCTTCAGTTTTAGCCTAAGAAAGTTGAGGACTGTACTAAATTAAATTCACTAGATATAAAGGTTAGTTTTGTTTTTGTTTTTAAATTTCTTGTTACTTAACTCTACATATAACTACTATTAATTTTTTATAGTATCCAATAAATAAATTATACCTTATGGCTGCTTTCAAACAATTCTGTGTATAGTCACTTAGTTTAAAGTCAATTTTAAATTAGTGAGTTTAATAAGAATGTCAAATAGTGATATGTATTGTGTCTATGAATTTGCTGTGTGTAGTAAATGGCCAATATACATAACTTTGATATTTTTATGACAATTGGTGTAGAAACTACGAAAACTATATACATATATTCCCTATTTTTAAATAAATTCAAATTAATTCATAATAAAAAGTAACGACTTTAGTCTGCCATACTTGAACTCATTCACAAAAACAAGTCACTGAGTATATATTTGTAAAAAAAAACTACACTATATAAGTTTTTATATTTAAAACTGCATACTTTTTTATAGATTTTGCAGTATTTAAATAACATATAGAAAAAATGTCTACAATATACTAGAAAAGTTTTAGATTAGAGTGATTCTAAAGAAATAAAACAACACCTCTATTTTGTTACTTTAACCTTGTGTGTTATATATTTCCCTTGACAAACTAACGTTATATTTTGAACTAAAAGTATATAATCTTTTCACTAAAAAGTAATATTTCAGTTTCGAACATTTTTGACACTCAATCACATACATAAAAATGTTTTAAAACGGTTCTGTCCTTACATTTGCGAAGACTGCCCTGATATCTAATCTATTTTCTTCTTAAAAGTAATTATGTTGTTTAACCGGTGTCTATAAAGGTATCTCACATCTCGCTCATACACACGAATTTGAAAAGCAGCAGAACAAAAATTTAAGTAACCAGGTATAACCAAGTCCGTGTAAAAAAAACTTTTCATATCCTGAAAACGTCAAGTGTCAACTAAAATTTCTACTTTTAAAAATCAAACATGCCGCCTTAGAGTGCCAGTACTAATAATTGATACATAATTGGGCTATTTCTTTGATTTGTGACCATACTAAAAAATCCAATTGGTTTAAATCTGCACTTCATTGTGGCCAGAAAAATTCACTTCCACGGTCAATCCAACGATGGGGAAACTGTTGATTTACATATTGGCGCACACACAGAGAATAATGTGGTGGCGCTCCTCCTGCATGTGTTGTTTTATGACAAGTGGAACATTTTCTAGTAGCTCATTTAAATGTTCTTCAAGAAAGTTTAAATAAATAGTCCATGAAGATAAGACAAAGGACAAATGAAAGCAGAAGATATCAAACCAAACCAAATGTTCACCTTAAACTCATGCTGTAAATCTCTTTCTCTTGTAGTATTTGAATTTTCAGAATTCC